CCGTGCTCAAATGCCAAGAAAAACTCATCATCTCCATTCTCAAAGGGCACCCGTTGTGGCCTGCACTCACATTATCTGTCAAATCCCCAAAAAATTACCTGAGACAACTATGGGGAACCATGCATACCATTGACAATCCCACACCCACTCTCCAAGCCACAATAGCCAATTCCACCATCACTATCACTCAAGATACCTTTCGTACTCTCCTTCACCTACCCATATCATCCGAATATGACCCGTTCCCTGAGCCACCTACAATCTTCTCTGACATGCTGAAAATAGGTCATCTACCTCCATTGACCTCATCTTCTCAATTCATCAGTAGCAAACTACCAAGGCCGTGGAAAACTCTCTTTGCCATTCTAAACAAGTGCCTCTCATCCAAGCAAACAGGCCATGACCAATGCAACATTCACATTCTAAAGCTGGTCCACGGTGTGATGTTTTCAAAGAATTATGACTGGGCCGGCGCAGCTGATATGGCTCGAAATCTTAGAGCAACTGAGCACAAGGGCATCAAACAAGAAGACCAAGTACATCCCCTATGTACGTTGGTTCTCAATTCTGATCAACCACTTCATGAGAGAAGATGCCAACATTCCACAAAGGCCACCAACAGAGCTGCAAGTCATTCCTCAACTCATTCACTTCAAGAACTTTGAGAACACTCCTGAGATGCAGCCCATGCAAATTCCAGATGCTCTTCTCAACCTTGTTGCTCCAAATGATCCGCACGTCACAGAATACAAGGTTAGTATCTCTTCTATCCCTACGACGCAGTCAAACCCCACTGTGTCCACCCAAGGGACTTCAAAGCCGAGTGGAAGTAAGGGTCCGAGAGTGACTAAACCAAAGAAGAGGGCAGGTGAGACTCAGTCCAAGAGAGCTGATGTCTCCTCCTCTAATGCTTTAATTGTTACATCACCACCAGTCACTGAAATACACCGAACTCAGTCCATAGGTACAGGTTCTGACGTTGTCAGTTCCCGAGTAGAAGTCGCTACATTGAGTTCAATAGCGCAAAATGAGCCAAGCCTAGACCACTCAACTGTCTCCCAACAGATGGTTGTTTCAAACCCACAAGGGGAACCCATCAGTGAACCGCCCCACACTGCTACCCAATGCACGATAGGTCATGTGTCCACATTCCCAGAATTTTAATCATTTTCTAGGGCACAACCTTCTTCATCAGTACACACTGATACAGGCTCATTACCACCTGTCATAACAACCAGAGGTACGCCAATGATGGTTGGAAGTCCTGCCACACTGATCTCCCCAGCAGGCCATGGCACCGCTATTCTTAGTGATGCTGTGAGAACTGATATTTCTTTTAGGTCAGGTTTTTCTTCCATTGCTAGTTTAACTAGGGAGGATCTAAGGTCTGAACTTCTAGCCTTCAAGCTTTCACTTTTACAAGACCTACGTCCTGTAGTCCCAACAGGCGTAGCAGACCAAGGATCACACCTAACTCCCTGCATAGGAACTCTTCCATCTACCATCACACCCACCTCAGTAATACCCACATCCGTTCCATCTACCTCTCACCCTGACCCAAAACAAATGAACATTCTTGATTTATCCGAGTACTTCCTTGATAGACTCCTATCCAAACCCATCCTCCCACCTCACCTAATTCAAGTACGAAACATCCTAGCCCTCACCCCTCCATTCATCCTTACTACCACTTGCCGTGATCAAGAACGCTTGCCTAAGCGTAAGCATGATGACATTGATGATTCGGATCATCATGAGGGGGAGAAAAGGCAACGTGCTTGTGAGCAAATCACATCTCAATCCATCATTCCATCCTCCACTAGCTCTGAATCATCTACATCTTCTCAGCCTAAACCCTCAAACTCTACCGCACCCAACGACTCACTAGCCTTAACCGTTTATCACCCTTCCGAGCCCATAAACACTGAGCCAGGACTTTGTGTCCTCTCGAGAACTTCTATAGGCTCATCCTTTATGGATGTTGACCAAGGATTGGAAGGAAGTCCTGACAATGCAACATATGAATCACCATAGTCTTCAGGCCGTCAGAACGAGCTAGTCTCTAGTATGATGAAAATGGTAAGTCTGTGTGACTCCGGTGTTATGTTACCCTCTGCTACGATTTTTATCCCAAATGATCCACACGTCCCACATGCTGAGAGAGCAACATATTCTTCAAAGTCCGCTTCTATCCCAATTCCAGCAGATCTACCATCGTCATCCAAGAAACAAGGTTCAAAGAGAAAAGAAAGAGATCTAAAAGAGAAAGCTGCTGATCTGATATTACTAGACTGGATAGAAGATAATGAGAAGGACGAACTTCAAAAGACGAACAAAGAAGAAGCTCTCAGCCAGCTGAATTTCATACGAGAAGTCAAGAAGACTGCTGCTGAAAACTTGATGGGACTAGACTCTGAAGAAATAGCTCAAGGAGAATTCTACGATGATCCACTTCCTGATTTTCACTTAGTCAAGGATCTAATCAAGACGCACCCAAAGAAATTCAATACAGAAGACAATTTAGAGACACCTTGGGAAAACGTCATGATAATTGTGCCATATCAAGAAGATCTTAGACCCAGAATTTGGAGAAGTGAGAAAAGAATCAAGAAGATTGACGAGCTAGAACTCAGAGGACTTGAACATTTAGAAGGAACTGCTGCTTCTGGACATATATGGATGCTACGAAACATGTTTGCCAATCAGAATGATCCTTATGGTCACCGCAAAAGATTAGTCAAGCATTCTGATTCAATGATCATAGCTATTCGAGCTATTGAGATCATTGTTCTAAAAATCGGCCTAGGCGGCCCAGGCGGCCATAACTGTAGAGGCCGAGTCGGCCTAGTCGGCCAAAAAATCGGCCTAGTCGGCCAAAAAATCGGCCTAGTCGGCCGCCTAGGCGCTAGGCGCCCCTCAACCGCCCGCCTAGCGCCTAGCGAGTTTTAGAACAATGATTGAGATACATCATATTGGAAAAGATACGTTCTATCCAATTTATGAGTTTGAATGACAAAATGGCATAATCCAAAGAGCATCTGAAGCTGACCTGTACTACTTGGTTTCTACTGATTTGATCCAACTATTCTACGAGTACAGATACGTCAACTTCAGAGAACTTTCTCAAAAGGATAAAGATCTAGGCCTTAATGCACTCAAGAGATTCATGATGCGACAAGTCAAATACTATTCACTCTTCGATCTGCAAATGGCCATAGAAAATAACTTTCCGAAAGTAAACATGTCTTCACCAAGAAATAGAGCTCCTTGGGTCGAGAATTTTGAAGAAGGCACCATCGTCACACAACCAGAGATAGGACTAATCTACAAAGACTACAAAGGCATCAAGCGAGTCCTTCTCATGAACGAAATTCACAAGTATTGCGATGGTACACTGAGAATCATTGAAGACCATCTGGGAGAAGCTCCTTTGAAGCTACAAAATTCTGAAGACCCAGATGACCCAGTACAGATTGCTCTTATTGCAGATTTTCACGAAGCCGTAGGAGTTAGACTTGATTTCAAAAGTACCCTCAGACATTATGAAGTCATCCTAGGCTATCGGAAGTCATTGTACAAGACTCAGAGATAATCCGCGCTCCATCGACATTTGAACACAAAGGGGGAGAATGTTAGAATATTATTTTATTGTGTTCAAATTAATTGATGAGTCTTTGTAATTAATTAGATTAGCTGAGAGAGAATTAGGCCTGATTTAAATGCTCTACATAGCCCACATGCACAGCCCATATTGTTTCCTAATTGTATTAGGCAGTTCGGATATCCCTCCTATAAATATAGGTTGAGATGGCCGAATCTGAAAGACAAGTCTCTACACATTCTATTCTGAATATTATTCTCTGTAGAGCCAGTGGATTAGAATTCTCTCTCTAGCGTGGTCGAGTACCATGTATTGTTCTTCATCGAATCATCATTATGAATACACGGTATAAGTTAATGTTGAATTTCTCTTCTACTGTTTAAATTCTTATCAATATTCTTAAATTGTTCGACTGTTGTATCTGGGCATATCTCACACACTTGCGGTAAAGGGCACTTCTTTTATTTTGAAGAAAATCATTATCAGCTTTTGATGTGCTTAGCTCTATCTGGGTCTGATTCAACTCCTTTCTTTATAAAGCTTTTGATGTGCTTTTAGAAAATCGTTATCAGCTTTTGAAAGCCCCATCCTTATGTATACGGTATTGTTTGCAAATGTCGAGCTTCCAAATCTCGAGATTGCAAATCTCGAAATTGCAAATGTTGAGATTGTAAATCTCGAAATTGAAAATGTCAAGATTGTAAATCTCGAAATTGCCAATGTCGAGATTGTAAATCTCGAAATTGCAAATGTCGAGATTGTAAATCTCGAAATTGCAAATGACGAGATTGTAAATCTCGAAATTTCAAATGTCGAGCTTCCAAGTCTCGAGATTGCAAATGTCGAGCTTCCAAATCTCGACATTGCAAATGTCGAGATTGCAAATCTCGAAATCCAAATGTCTAGATTGCAAATCTCGAAATCCAAATGTCGAAATCCTGCAAAATCAAAACTTCGAGTTTTGAAAATCTTAAAGCTGTTCCGAGTAGCTCTTCATCTCGAGATTCTCCTGTATAAATTTCGATTCGAAATCCTATGAAACACCTGGACACAAGTTGATCTCGAGATCTTGAGTATAGAGATCTCGAAAACCAAAAACTCGCGCAAATAAAAATATAAGATATGCTGCTTGATCGTTTCGAGAACACGATTCAAACAGTATAACTTTTACAACGTTTCAACCAAACAAGATTACACAAGCTAGAACTCAAAAATACAGATAAGAACACAAAGGTCGTTTCAGAAAATTGCAGATCCGAAAAATCGTAGATGGATTCAATTTGTTTCACGCTTCGGCTCTGATACCAAATGTTAGTCCCAAAATCAATCAACAATCATACAATAATATAGAAGCAGAGAATCACAGAATGATAGAGATATGTTGATCGTTGAAACCCTCTTCTATATACCGTATAAGCTCTCAGAAAGATATGCGTGAATAATATGTGAGACTTGTGAGAGTTATGTGAGTTAGGGTTTGCTTAAGTTAGCATCCTTTTATACATAAGGATGTCTAACTTAAGGCTTACAAGTGGGCTAATGGGCTGAAATACATTTGTGGCCCATATTACACATTTAATTAATAACTACACAAATACAAAGATATTTAATTAGATTGAACACCATAAAATATTCCCAACACACTTAATAGAATTTGACTTATTGCAATATTCTACATTCACATGTACGTGATACTTCATCAACAAATACGGATTATTAGGAACAACATTCCTGTTGTCTAACATGACCCCGTTCTTGTTGATAGAAATTCCTGTTTCGCGGCGTCTATAGGTTGGGTATCCATCCTCGTCAATGGATGTTGATGAAGTAAATTTTTTAGGAAAGAACTTATCACACCTTTTTTCTTTCATGCTAGGAGATTTGTAGTTAGCTGCTCCACATGGGCCATGGATCATTAACGTTTTCACTGCCTCTGCCAACTTGGGATACAACTCTGAATGAGGCAACTCAGCGGAGATGACTTTGTCAATATCTATTGGGTTGTTTAGTCTGTTTTCTCCATCCAACCATAGAAGGATATGAGCATGGGGAAGTCCTCTTTTTTGGAATTCAATAGTGTACATTCCTGTTTAAAGAATCATAAAATAAGTTGTTATAAAACTTCATTTCAACTTCAAAAAATGTTTAAAAAGTAATGAAATCGATACATGCCTGCGTTAACTTTGCCAAAGACCTTATGTTTTCGCAAGTCAGCCATCAAGTGATGTAATTTTAGCTTGAATACCCTGCATACAATGTCTGGTCTATCAAATGCAACCAAACCACTCGCAGAATCAACATCATGTATTTCTGGCAAATTCAAGTTACATGTAATAGTTATGAATAAATCTGGATATTCATATCTTTTGCATATTGCCATAGCATCTTGACAATTGTTGAACATGTATCTCGTCCCGCTCGTAAACGACCCAGGCAGTATTATCCGTTTTCCTGCTAAAGTTGCATCCTTCTCTCCATTGTCAATAGCCTCTTGTAACCCACTCAAAACATCAGCCCTGATTTGTTTTTTATTAGCCCTGATAAAGGACAACCTTTGAGCCTCTATCATAGTGTAACAATCCACCACAAACTGCTGGAACAACCTCTTGGCATTAATTATATTTCCGAACTCAACTTGTCATTGCTGAATTCTAAATGCCACAAATTCTCTCAAAGAGACTCGTATTCTTCGACGACTGAGAATTAATAATTGTATCCCTAATTGGAATATCCTCACGATAACCATCTTCCCCATATGGAAACAATAAAGGATATTGCAAAGGGATGAAAGAAGGATGAGTTTCATGCAACCTGGTTAATCGACCATCTTTTTTTCACCAAAATGTCACGTCTAGTCTCGAGATTGCTCATATCACCTACAATTAAGGCAGCTACCTCATTGAAAGTTGGTAAGTTGTATACTCTACCACCATTTGATCTACTCCGAAATAACCTCAAAGAAAAGTCTGATGTAGGCTCATTTATTGCAAGATCTCTGACCCTTCTGAAAGTTTGAGCTAGTGAATTGAACTCGTCAAACATCCTAGTCAAATCTTGAACTAATGATGTATCCAACTCTTGAGGCTTATCTTTAGATCTGTGAGTTAAAAAATAAAAGAAAATAAAATACTGACCTCATAACCTATGAATGATTATTGATGATCTGAAAACTGATATTACCAACTTGTTTTAAGCTTACCCGAATGGGGTTACTCGATTTTGCAATTCATTTTGAGTGTCATAAATATAAAGTTGTGCGAACTTGGGTTGGATTCCATCGTCTGGAATCAAACTCCCAATGCGGTGATAATTTTGGCCACCTAAAATGAACTGAGGAGGACCTCCTCCATCATTAACTGAAGATTGAATGTTTCCTCCAATTGAAGTGAATGAAAACATACTGTTGTATGTCCTTAAATTGTCTCTAAAGTGAGCACTCCTTGGATCTTCATTAGTCATTAAGGCATAAAGTAGTGGAGGTGGTTTTTGTAAAAATGGAAGGTCAACCTTTCCTTTTTGACAACAAATAGAATAGTCTACATTATCAAATTTGCATTTTTTCTCTGACCTTTCCTTGTACCACACAAATGCCTTGCAGTGCTTACATATAAAAGATGGCTGTCCAAAATTCACAGAATCTGCATCGATACAAAACCGTAAGTATAAATATTTGTCACACATGAAAGTTGATGACTATAGAAAATGTTTACAATGACCTTCAGATTCAGGTGATAAGTACAATTGGGAATGGAACCTTAACAGTGGATCACCCTGAGTCGTTCCACCTGGTATATATTAAGAAATATGGTAATTGGATAAAATTGAGCTACTTCATAGCTATTATAAATATTAATATATAGGTTACTGTAAACAACTAATTCAAACAAGAATGACTTTTATTAATTTATTACAAGAGATAGGCAAAAAATAGGGTGATTTCTTTTTTTACGGGAATGTCATGCATCAGTTGCCAAAATGCGGGAGTTTTTTTAGGTTTTCTAAAAAAACGGGAAACGTGGTTGTGTAATCCGAAATATGTAGGGTTTTTGTGGGGTGGTAGGGAAAGCTGAAAAACGGATTCCTTGAATACGATATTGGGGGTTTATTTATTTTCGCTTTGAGCAAAATCATTAAGTTGAGTGGGTTCAGTAGGTTTCTTTTACGGGGAGTGTATTGCTTCAGTAGGTTTTCTATTACTAGTAAAAGATTTCTTAAGTTTTTTGGGATTGTTTAGTTTCTTTTTTTTTTCAAAGAAAAAAACACAAATAATTCAATAAAAATTTTTGAGTGGGATAAATAATACTACCTCCGTTCCCATTTAAACTTCCAAATGTGTTTGGCACAAAATTTAAGATAGTGGATATTGTGTGGTGGAGAGTTGTGCAGAGGAGAGAGAAATGTGTAAGAAATATTGTGAACCACAAATTCTTTACCAAAAAGGGAAAGTGGAAGTTTTAATTGGAACGGATGAAAAGGGAAAGTTGGAAGTTTATTTAGGAACGGAGGGAGTAGAACATATGAAGTGGTTGGGAGTGGGTTTGGGTGGGTGCACGTGGTTGGGAGAAGTGGTTGAAATTATTTCGAATAATAAGTGGTTGAAAAAAAATTGAATGTTGTGTAGAATTATTGATTCTCAAAGTGACAGGGAATCTGTCAGAAAAATTAAAAGTTGATTGATTTAATTTAAAGTGAGTGGAATCTGTACACTTTTGTACCCGAGATATTTTTTTTAGATCAAAATTATTGATTGTTGGGAGTGGGTTTGGGTGGGTGCAAGTGGTTGGGAGAAGTGGTTGAAATTATTTTGAATAATAAGTGGTTGAAAAAAATTGAATGTTGTGTAGAATTATTGATTCTCGAAGTGACAGAGAATCTGTCAGAAAAATTAAAAGTTGATTGATTTAATTTAAAGTAATTGGATTCGTTACACTTTTGTACCCGAGATATTTTTTTAGATCAAAATTATTGGTTGTTGGGAGTGGGTTTGGGTGGGTGCAAGTGGTTGGGAGAAGTGGTTCTTATTATTTCGAATAATAAGTGGTTGAAAAAAAATTGAATATTGTGTAGAATTATTGATTCTCGAAGTGACAGGGAATCTGTCAGAAAAATTAAATGTTGATTGATTTAATTTAAAGTGAGTGGAATCTGTACACTTTTGTACCCGAGATATTTTTTTAGATCAAAATTATTGATAATTGGAAGTGGTTGAAATTATTTCGAATAATAAGTGGTTGAAAACAAAAATTGAATGTTGTGTAGAATTATTGATTCCTGAAGTGACAGGGAATCTGCCACAAAAAGTAAAAATTGATTGATTTAAGTTAAAGTGGTTGAAAAAATTGAATGTTGAATGTTGAAAATAGGGTGGTTCGAATGATGAAAAAAAAATTAAAAGTACAAACTAATTGAATGTTGAATGTTGAAAGGGATATTTATTGAATGTTGAAAAAAGAGAGTAAAATTTCGAATAATAAGTATTGCGTACATAATAGTAAAGTTTAAGCTTGAAACGTAATAGTAAAAGTACAATTTAATAATAAGATAATATTAAATTCAATTGATAATTTAAAAGTACAAATTCAATTCATAATTGATAAAACTAATTACATACAACTATTCTGATTCATCAGATTCATAGTGTCGACCTGGCACCATGAAGTGACTCCCTGTCCCACAGCGTCGAGAATGTATATCCCGTCTCGGCCTATGTTCAATCGGCGGTTGTGTGCTTGGTCCTGCTTCGTGCCCCATCCCACTCTTCACATCTGATCCTAATAAGTTGTTCAACCAATCAATCGGTGAATTTAAAAGGGTGGGACACGTCTCATATGTAGGTTGTACATGTGGAATAGGCGATGGAGCATCAAAAGTCGGAATGTATGCACCAGTCGGTGTAGAGTACTGATAGGGTACATGAGGTGGGGCAGGGATGCATGAATGAATATAAGAAGATGGTTGTTCTTCTTCTTCACCACCATCTTCGTCCTCCTCCTCCTCCTCATCATCATCATCATCACCATCATCATTATCATCATCATGATTATTGTCGTCACCATCATCATTGTTGATGTGTGGAGCAACATAACCGCGTCCGTAACGCCGCCCTCGAGTGGGAGCGACTCTTCTAAGGTCCTGCCGAAGTGGGGGATGATCATCCATTACATCATCATGGGCATCCCCATACAAAATGATGTCTTGATGAAGGACGTTTTCGGCATCTAATCCTATAAGGCATCGTGCAATTTGCTCGCGGATGTCTTCGACGTCAAATGGAGCTGCCATGCGCCGATAGATATCGCTCATACATTGCATCTAAAATTCAAAAGTAAAGTTATTAAATAACAATTAACATTTCTAAGTTGAATAATTACACATAAAATACTTACCAATGTACTCGTCTCCCTATTAGTAGGTACATAACCTGTTGTAGGTCGACCATGTAACGGATTACAAATCCGTCGTTTCCCAAACTTTGCGTACCATTCACGGTACGCAGGAGTGTAGGTGGGATCAGCAACGAACTCAATTGCGATACGACGGTTGTGCCTTTCAGCCCATAGTGTCAATGGCCATTCAGAATTTTTTGCACCACTTGCATGGTGGCTAGCTTGTGATTCTGCTGCGAGAGGACGATGTTGCATTGCACCCAATTGACGACAAAATCTACCAGGGTAGTACATCTCAAAAATGTCACAGTATATAAGCATCACATTAGATGTCCACAATTGTATTCCTGCGACGCAGAACCAGGGGAGGTCTTGTATTGTGTATGGGAGCCACACGAACTAGATCAATATTATTTGAAGTTAATTTAAATACATATTAATTATGTATTAAACTAAAATGATATTTGTTAATTATAACCTCGTTCTCTCGGATCCCGTCCAACTGATCCCGATAAAGACGCAGAGTATACCGAGAACTTTGTTCCCAATTGTGCCGACACGCCCACCTTTATAAAAACAAGTTATTATACCGTGATCTACAAATATATCTAATATGCTAATATTTAATATGTAAAAATTCAAATTATACCTGCAGCCATATGGCATATCCTGAAGATTCTGAAATGGCAAAACGTTTCGCGGTCGCACCATGGGCAATCTCTCCCACGCCCAAATCTGTAATAGCAGCAAGCACCCCCCCAATATTTTTCCTGTTGGCTTTGGCAGCCTTGCACATGTTGTGATACAGGAATCCCAATACCGCTGAGCCCCAACTCCACCGTCGTGCTTCACCGAGTGGTCCCTGCAACAACTCTAAAAAGTACAATTTTATTTTGTTCCCAGTAGTGGAGGGGAACAATAACCCACCTACTAGTTGCCAAATGAGCACCCTCGTGTATGTGATGAGTTCCTCATTTGTGCTGTGCTGATGTACTGGCCAACGTTGTATGGCATTCATTCTTATTACAAATGTGTTTAAGTCATTGTTGTTTGGCGTGAAACCGGCGGAGTCCGTGCACATCTGCATCCAAAGTGCCTTTGAATTCATCCTAGGTCCGGACAGTGGTTCTCCGTCGACGGGCAACCCCGACAACACTTCTACGTCCTGTAAGGTGATACCCACCACAACACTAGTTCTAGACGAGCTTGTGAAAATCGTACCAGTATAGGGTAATTATAATTTATGTTTGCTTTTATGGCCCAATTATAATACGGAGTACATGTTATGAAGTAAATTATATTATAGGGTTATTTGGGAATAAATAATGATGACTAAATTAATACATTAGAGTAACAAATATTAGTGAACCAATAATTAGAGTAATTGAAAAATAGTAAATGTGCTTACATCATCAACATAAATTAACTACTATCAAGGAAATACTACAAATAATTATAAGTTGTGTGTGGGCTAATTATTTCTATTGTTATTTATTTAGTATGACATATATCAACTATCTTAATAGCAATTAAGATTAATTACATATTAATATTAAGATTTTCGAAATATTAAGACTGACATAACACAATCAGTCCAAAAAATTAATTGTAAAGAGTAAAGATATAATTAAAATTCTATACCTTTATTTCCAGAACTCGAAGAATAGAATTAGCAACAATACTCAATAATTGTTTCTAACTCAATTTATTTTTATGGTAGTATGTTGTATATGATATTGAAGAGATTTAAATAGGTTAAGTTTGAGATTTAAATAGGTTAAGTTTGGTTGAATTGTGTACTGAAGCACGATCCGGATGGAGTTGCTCTGACCAATCCGGGAGCTTTGAGTTTTCGGATTAGCCATATCCGAACTCCATATTTTCATGCTGCAAAAGACTGACATGCATCATGCATGCTTCTGACACATGCACTAGTATGATATCCCAAGTCCGAACTCCATGTTTTCAAATTGGAAAATCGGATTACGATAATTAGAATTTTTCTTTTACCAATTAAATCACAATTTCGGATTACACGAATCCGACTTTTTCTTCTGACAATTCCCTCCCCTACTTTTTCGACGAAGCTGACGTATTCACAAAAAAAACCTAAAAAAGTCGGATTACTAAAACCCATTTCCCGTAAATTCATACCCAAATTCTGACATTCGTATTTTGGGAATGGATGCACAAAAGTCCCGTAAATCCATCATTTTCTCCAAAAAATACCAGGATGAGAGTTGTTTATTTGAGCGGTCCCTTCATCATAAATGAGAGTTCTGGACCCAACTGTAGCCAGTAAGTGAATAGACTTTCCAAACTTCTTTGAATTGTAATCGGTATGTGAAGAAGATGAACCCTCTACTAAATGGGTTAAATTATATTCACTTGACTGATCTGTATAGTTTGCTTGATTAGACTGTGGGGTCGCTTTCGTGTTTTGAGATTTTGAATTCATTATAAGCTTTCTTCTCATCCGTGCAGCTTTAGATACGGAGTACGCCATGGAAAGTAATGAGGAATTGGCTAGAGGTGTACAATCGGTGGCTGCCCAACATTGAACATTATATCTCAGAATAAGATGGTAAGTCAATAAACTCATTTACAGTTGCATACAACAATGCACGACATTATTTATTGTAATGTTAAATGGAATACCATTGTTTAAAGGCGATATAGGAACTTCCAAGTTCAATACTTGAACTGAATTCACATTGGTCAAATTCATAAATTGAGGCCTTGTACACTGTGCAGTGGGATTAGAGTAGATGAACGGAGGTGTTGAATTTGCATCTGGCACATAGCCAAGGAAAAGGGATAAACTTCAATAGTTAATGTAAATTCAGCATACAGTGAGATGATTTCATATAGGTTTGTGAGATTAAAATCAAATATATTTACCAATACTCAATGGGGAAAAAGGGACCCTTGAAGGTGTCACTTGAGTTGAGTGGTGATTGGAAGATTTCGAATTTCTAATAAGCTTTCTAGTCATCCGAGGAGCTTTAGAAAGGGAATAATCCGTAGGAAGAATAGAAGACCTAACTGGTGGCGTTGAATTTTCATCTGACCAAGTGAAAACAATAGGGTTATAAGAAACATGTCACGTATAAAGCCACTCCAATTAATGTTTTCTTTGTATGTAAGAAATAAAGACATCCTCGCATAAATAACACTTAAATTCATTAAGATAATGCAAAAACAAAAAGTATTACCATTGGAGAACTCCAATGAGGGTCTTCCGAGCCTTGAATGTTCGAATACATCAATTTTCCTTGCACTTGAATCTTCTGGAATCTTTCTTTTCATCCTACCACTTTGTGTTGGAGAAGACTCCATGGACATGGAGGGAGTGGGAAACAACACTGAAGTTTCAACTAACACATGGATATAGAGTAAAAGTTTGTGTGCAAATGAATAGTCATAAACTAATATCGATGAATAAAGAATGAACCTCGTAAATGTGAACTGTTATTGTCTCTATGTTGTTCCACATATGCGACCAGTTTTGGGAGATGAAGTTTCCATGAAAAGTACTCACAGTGACTGAGTGTTTTATCAATTTACATATATGTGTAGCGAATCTTAAAGAGATTCATTCCATTGTAATAGTTGTATTACACATTTAATGGAGATCAAACATAATTGGAATATTTAATTTATTTATACCCTCCTACAAAAGTTTCCTATTATTGCTTCCGGGTTACCAAACGTATGCACATAACTGTCCTCTTCCATTATTAGATTGTTTCCTTGATTAGAGGTTTGCAATTAATTAAAATCAGTTAGGATATGGAAGTTAATTACTTCAAACCCCCTTCTTTAGGTTTTCTGTATTCCAATTTATATTGTTTTATATATTTGCATATTTATACATACATCCATTACAATCTATAGTCTTCTTATTATATGATAAACACCAATTGTCATTATAATTATGCGGCAGACACGACACCAATATGAGTGTTGTTATTGTTGTTTATGAATTCTGAAACAATAAATAGTCATTGGGAAAGCGAATAATAATATTCATAATGTGAATGAAATCCACAATGGAATATATATTTCTTGATAACGTGAAACCCTACACAAAATATGAATATTATTATTCGCGTGTGGATTTCATTCTGAAACAAATAATTTTAAACACTAAATTATTACACAAAATTTTTAACACACTATCTAAAATAAAATAAAATTATGGTTTGAATTTTTTGGTTTTAATTTATCGGAATATATAAAATTTTTAAGTTTATTTGAAGTATAAAATCTTTTTGTGCTCTGGTCGGATTTGGGTGTTCCGACAGGAGTTTTGAAATTTTATGCGCTATATACAAATTTTAAGTTTATTTGAATAATAAAAACTTTTTGTGCTCTCGTCGGATTTGGGTGTTCCGACAGGAGATAAAATTTTAATTTTTTTTTAAAATTCCACTTCCACTTCCGGTTATTTCATTTATTTGAACTACAATGTGTTTCTTGTGTAATTAGATAGAAGTATTGAATTTGTGCAGATGAGACAGACAGATAGCCAATTTTTACTCTGAAATTCCTATTTAACAATCAAAATTAAAAAAATTACAAATTACTAAATTAACTACTTCTACACTCTTAAAATGACAACAAATAAAACCAAATCATTGTAAATTCTATTTAACTTGAACAACACATACCAGGAGATTCGTAGTTCTGAAACGTTTGGCGGTTGTTCCTCCGACCATATACGAATGATGGGCCTTCCTCTCTAGGAGTTCCGTGGAACGTCAAAGTGTGTGGCGGGGTCGCTGAAGCTTCCACGTAAATGTGCAACTCCTCATACTCATTTTTAGCGATCCGGAAAAAATGACGCCATGTCTGCTCATCGTGAATGGGCCATAGTCTAGAAGCAACATATACAGAATTCTTATATTTTGGCAATTTTCCGTAAATTAATTTAATTTCGGAAAATCCGTCGCCTCTAACATGATTTAGAACATTCTCATGTATAGTAGTATAATCATCTGCTTCACTAATGAATAGTACCGCCCTAGGAGGTATGGAGTACTCTATTTCATCATCTTTTTGAGATGTAGAGCCATTCCAATGAACCATAACAACAATATTTCCCTCACTAGACATTTTTATATGAGAGAAGAATGTCTAAACAGAAAATGTAATAAATATATCAAGAGAGAAAGAAGGATTATTTTTGGAGTGAAAATTTTGAAAAGAAATGAACTCATTTTATATGAGCTATTGGGGTACGTACGGTGACCATATAAATGCAGTTGGTAGAATAAATGAATACAAATAAAACACGTAGTGCAAACAATAAAATGAAAATAAAACGAGTTGGTTGGTAAAATGTTCGAACCACAATTAAACACGTCATTTTTTTAAAAATATATCAAAATACCCTAGTCGGATTTCCCAATTCCGACTAGGTTTTTAATAAATTTTATCCGCTTTAACGCATTGTTTTAAAAAAAATCAAAAATACCCTAGTCGGATTCCCCAATTCCGACTAGGTTTTTTTAATTAAATTGGCACTTACCTCTAGTCGGATTGCCCAATTCCGACTAGGGTTTCAACCCTAATTCCGGACTTCTCCTCCAGTCGGAATTGCCAATTTCGACTACCGTAATTTGGTAACCTAAAAGGAACTTCCATATTTTGGCTTGTCAGACGGGAGATTCCCGTAATTTGGTAATTTTCTCAAGTTATAGAGTCATAAAATCTGTTTTGCCAAAATCTAGACGATAACTATATGGAAGATTGCTACCACAGATGTATAAAATTACTCAAAGGCATCTCTTAATGTGAAAAACAACATTGTTCTCAAATGTAGGTTGCAGCAAAACAATATTTAAGAAACAAAAAGTTCAATGGTATGAAAACCAAATTAAACATCATATGAAAATACTATAAGCTTCTTTAGGAAGAAATCTAATCCTTTTCAACTTTTATGCTCTTTTTCAAATACTTCGGGTCTGATCCAGCTGTTGTGTCACTCACACACAAATCGCCATCATGTATGGTATACACCGCTTCAACCCCTTGAGTATCCGAAGCATGCAGGAGATCATCTCCAATTGTTGATGGACACTCCTAAACTGTAAGATATAAACAAAAAAGTTTAAACTATCATCACGAAGTAGTTGAAAATATGAAATTGCAGACCACAAACACAATAAAATTTAAAGAACTACAAATAGCCAATAACATATGCATGCAACACAGTGTTTTATATTGGATCTCAAATAGCATGCTTAGTGTAATAATTCAAAGAAGTGTCTGAAGTTGCTTTACCGTGGTGCTGTTTTTGCCTTTCTTCGGGTGGCCTTCGGGTTTTGATGTTGTATCTTCAGAATATGCCCTCTTATTATTTGAAATCTCAACAGATTCTGTGGCAATGTCTATTTCGATTGTCTGTTGCATTTGAGACTCATTGTCTAGATCTTCAAACTTGGACATCAGATTCTATTAAAGTATACCAGAAACCACACATTTTAAGTGACAAAAATATAATAATGCATGTATGTAGGTATTTAATTATATGCATTATACTCGTTACTCTAAGAACAAAGTATTATATAAACCTGTGAAAGAGTATCATTAGGGGAAATGGATGCATTACGGACAGAGCATGAGCTTTCTGAAACAGAGTTCTTCAAAAAAAGTAGAAATAGTTAACCAAGACATCCAATTTTTTTATTTGAGCAGAAATATTGAAAAAAGATGCATATTTACCACATTTGGCAAGTGTAGCTCCTTAAATTTCTGAATGATTGCAGCATCATCACATACCCTTTTTATAGGAAATGTAGGAGGGAAGCGAGGGTTACTCGATTTTCTATATGCAACCTTGAAAAGTAGTTCTTTATCTACCATATCAGTTAACTGCTTAGGCAATGCTAACGAACCATCCTGCTTAAATATATTTAATAAAACCAAATCATACAAATAATCTTTAACTATTTTTTATCTGTGACTTTTTTACAATGAAGTTTTACCTTATCTAGCTCATCAAGCATTTCAACACATGACTTATTCCACATCATAGAGGCTTCACGATCAAACATAAGGGAATAAAAATGCATTATTATTCCTGAAAAATGCATGAGTTAGTATAGCAAACATAAGGGCATATTATAAAATAATAAAATGATCACATAAAAAAATTAGAACCTTTGTAACGTCTCGCTTTAGCGAGCTGCACTATGACAACATCGTTATCTTTCTTCCCCGAAGAGAGAAATAGGTTCAACTCATCAACATATGGTTGAAATAGAATGCATCTTATTTTGCAGCTAAGCATAAAAGGCATTGTTGAAGTCATTAGAGTTTAGGTAATAGCGCAATAAAACACATGTTAAGAATAGTATTATATTGTCAAATGGATACCTGTCAGCTTCTAAGATAATATAATTTCTTTTGGACTTTGTCCCATTTATCTCCATCTCGTGTTCTTTTCCATAATACGTCGCAAATCTGATCACATCTTCGAAACAATGAAAAAGGTTATTAGCTCTAATTGAAATCAATTTGAATTGAACTGTTATAAGCATACTTTGGTTATAGAACCATACCAACTAAAACTTCCATATCAATTTCTCTGGCTAAAATTGAGCTAATCGGAACCAATGAGAAACTGTTTTTGAGCAGTGTTTCATCTTCAACCTTTATTACCTTCATCTGAATTTGAAAATTTATTTTGTACTTATGCGAAGTAGGCCTAAAATCTCCAGTATTGGAAGCGAGGGTGAAGGCACGGATAGAATAAACTGTTCTTTCTGATAAAATATTCTGAAAGCGGTATATAAGGGCCTTACGAATTGAGGCATGAATTGTGCACCCCTACAATGATAAAACGACCACTTATAAAATTTCACTAAATGAATACATATGATTGAGTATATAATATGAAAATTTGTTATAAATAAAGTACATTTATTATTCAAAATGGGATGACACCAGAAAGCATAAAAATAGTAATGTAAAGTCTCATATCCCCAAAGCATGAAGTAAATGTATTATCCAATATTAGAAGACACCCACAAATTCAATGAATATAAATATTTATACTTAGAAATCTGATTTGCAATGTGACAACTAAAAACATGTAAAATATTACTGCTTACATTTTTATGAATATTCATTGTTATTTGAGAAAAGATGGTATATACATATTGTTGTGTGCACATATATATATATATATATATATATATATATATATATATATATATATATATATATATATATTGATATATACTATCTGATTTTCACTAAATATGAAATTACAGAATGAAGAAAGTAGAGTGATGAACGTCATACATTTTCATCCATTAGAAGCATATCCAATGAGCGATGATTATTTGGCCTGGATGAATTAGTCTCTAGAACGAACCATAAGCGCACTAAGATTGCCTTAATATTCCAATTGTCTTTCACAGTTGAAACACTCGAAATTGAATCATACGTGATAGGAGAAGTCATTTCTCAAGGTAGTGAGAACAATGCACTCGTTAATAGCTTAGTGAGGTTTTATAATGAAAGATGAAGAGCTGATTTGTAGGGAACATAGGTATTATATGGTAATAAAATTATTTGAACGCAGGTTCAATATGGTAACACTAAAATGAACCCTCACGGTTGTAGACAAAAAGTTAATATGGTAATGTATTAATATTTAAATAAATGTGGATGTTTATTGATTCTATTGAAAGCTGATTTGTAGGGAAGGATGAAGAGGTGTTGTACCGTGGGTTAATGCTACTTGTAATGCAAATGGATCCACACGATGGAATGCAACAAGTGAATATGGAAATAGAGATATTGATTTGATTGAAAGCTGATTATTAGAGAATGATTGAAGAGGGGCAGGTTCACACTTGAGGTAGTTTGGTCAAAATTGGCGTAGTAACTAGTTCGGCCAAATGATTACTAAATTAAATATCAATAGAGATAGAGGTGATGCATGTAGAAGTGCCATGTGGCAGAGGTGTTTTTTAAGAATGACACGTGTCAAAGACTATCACCAATGTTACTAAATCTATAATACTACGCATATAGATATAGATATAGATAGTATTACTAAAATAAACCAGAATAGATATATGGATATGGGCTAGCGGTGGAGCTGATTTAATGAATATTTTTAGCTGCCGTCCTAAATTAAATATCTGGGCTGCATAATTGAACTCCGGTGGGACACGTTGCATTTTGTAGCTGAACTATACCAATAAAATGTTATGATAGCGATCAGCTTGGACCATAAATTTCAATCGTGCAGTTGTGCGTATTTTGAATGATAACATCATCTTAATTTGATCGGTTATAATATACGTAGTAAATTTTATTAAAACCACTAAATAATTTGGTTCAAAAATGGACTCAAATTTGGGACGTGTAGGCGTACACGAATAGAATTTGTCTTTCCTCCACATACACAACATTATACTACGTATTTCTACACAATGATAACATGGTTAAAAATTAAATATAGTGTTTTTTAAGGGAAAAATGTCAGATAAGTACTCGAACTTACATAAAAATGTCAAATAAGTCCTTATATAGGAGGTTCTGTCCAGCCGTCGCCATTTGGGGCGATTTCCGGTGGAATGTTTTGATGATTTTTTTTGGGCAACTTATTCATTAAGTCTAGTTTATTCATACCAAATTTCAGCTAAAACTTCAATCGGGAAGGCATTCAAATTTTTTGAGCAACTTATATTTAATTGTTGGTTAATTAAATATTGTTGATTTTCCTTCTAATTAATAATACTCATAATAGACAACATTATGTTGTTTGAAAATTGTGAAAAAGATAGAAAAATGATGAGAAGATGTCATCGTAATAGAAAAGTAGAAATATAGAATTGTTAAAATATAAATGAACTAGTCATCTTATAGTAGAAAGAATGACGGAGATAGTACTGCTGCAGTTTTGAAAGACATAAATATGACCAAAATTGAATTAGACAAAAAAGTGAGTAAATTCCGTGAAGCTAATAATCTATCGTGTGTCTCTTGCCTCCTCTACGCCCAACTCCATAAGTCCAGAATCTCCCCACAGACCATATCCACAAGCCATGCATATCCATCTGTCTGCTCCCTTCCGATCCATGGTCGGCGGCGCCACTGGTTTCATTCTCACCACCGCTCCATGAAGACCAGCCAGGAGATGCCGCCCTCTACCACTCGTCTGCCACTCGAACGACGCCGGAAACCTCCACTTCGGCGAGATCGGCCGACAATGAAGGCGGACACAAGTGGTTTTCCACTTCGGCGAGTTCGACCGACAACGACGCCAAACACAGCGCCGGCTCCGCTGCCACTCCCCTGCTGTCGCAAATCCTACGCATCCGGTTGTCGCCTGTGGAACTGACAGCCTCCCCCGCCGCTGCAATTCATATAGGCTGCTTCTTCTATTACTTGTTTCTCGAGAGCACAACAACTGGTTTCGATTAATTTCTTCAATTGAGATTTGAATTAGGAGAACGATCTTAAGGTTTGGTTTCTGTTAATTGGGATTAGGAGGAGGATTTTGCAATTGAAATTACTGGCTATGGATGGAGGAAGTTGTTGGAGGCGAGCCTGGGGTTGTGATTGGGAGGGTTGTGGTCCGACTTGGGGCTGCGACGGCCAACGGCTGGCAGGGGTGCGGTGGTAGCATGGGTAGGTTTACGGTGGTTGTGAGTGGGCTGGGGAGGGGGGCTAGAGAGGGTAGGGCGACTGATCACCTAACTGGAGGAGGCAGTGAGGTTATTGAATTTGACCGGAGATGAGAGGTTGGTGGTTGTCAGGGCCGGAGAGGTGCAAGGGCGAGATGTCAACGACAGGGCAGTTGGTCACTATTGGGCAGTGGCAAGTCATTGACGGTGGTGATCGGTGGTGGCCGCTGGTGGTGTACAATTTTGCTGGAAAAAGTTGCTGGAAATTTTCTGACGGTTATAATGACATGTTTCATGACAATAGTGACATATTTTACGGCAATAGTGACATTCAAAAGTGACATATAAATAGCTAATAGTGATATATAATAGTGACATAAAAATCTGACAGTGACATAAGAAATACAGTGACATCATGTTTTTCCAAATATGTGATCTCCTTAGTCACATTTTTATCCTTTTAAAAAAGTAGTCACATATTTAGAATTCAGTTTTAATTTGGTACTACGTAATATTCAAGGGAAAAACCCCTTATAGTATTCATGATTAGGAATTTATTATCACCAATATCAAAATAATTAAGAAAATCGTAATAATGACTTCAAGGTGATAATTATGTGATTTATATTTATTTCCTAATTTAAATGAACTTACACTTTCTACTATAAATAGAAGACTTCTCTTTATCTTGTATTAATTTTCAGTTCAAGAACGCCAATAAGCGTATTATTAATATAACCTCTCTAATCTAATGTTAATTTTTCTTTCATTTCATAACACGTTATCAACATGAATTTCTTCCAAATCTCTGAAATCATCATCTTCTTGTGGTATTATGGAAAATATTAGCAATGGAGAATTTGATGTCTTTAATTTATCTGACCAGAATTACCTGAAATGAAAAATATTAGCAAAGGAGACTTTATTGTCTTTAAAATTAAATGTCCTTCGGAACAAAATAGTTGAAAATAATTCAGTAAACTTCTCAAAATAAGGTAAAAGTTGTTTCTCTTTGTCGTCATGTTCACATGAGCTTAAATTCTGAATATTTATTAGTGGATGACCCTAACGAATTATGAGATAATATCCAAGAAAGATATGATCATCAATAATGTGTTCATTTACCTAAGAGTCATTATGACTGAATCAATTTACGATTAGATTGCAGAAATATAAATTTAAAAGTGACTATAATTCTGCCTTTCTTTCAAATGACATCTAAACTAAACTACATCAATTTAAATGTCCAATAAGACCGAATCAATTTATCACCCCAACCTTTCTTTACCTTTCCAACTTGCTCAAGAGTACTTTACTAGCTACAGACTCTTTGTAGTCTATTAATATATCACTATTGTAAATCTCTGTAGCATCTATAAGATCCTTGATCTCAGATTCCACCATCCCCGCTCAAACTCTCCTTAAGCTCTCTTTTAGTTCATCAATATTTTAGTTTTGCTAGTATCTGATATATACACATACACACATATTTACCATAAAAAAAAACAATTATTTCAGAAGCGAAAAAGGGAAAAGGGTGGTTTGGTAATAGTTACTTTTTAGATCTATTTTCTCCGTAACTATGGGTAGAAGAGAAAAAATCTATAGGCCTAAAATCTGAAGTTCTAAAGGAGCAAGACAAAATTCAACTTCTAGCTTATTCCCTAGGGTATTGCTTATGATATTGTTGGGATATTGACCTAGAGGCTCAATACCCAGATCGGGAAGGCCCAAGATATCCGGCCCAAGCAACGGGCCCATCACTCTATGATGAATAGATCCAGTAAGAAGACATACCGAACGGAGTTCGGCCCAAATAAAGATTGGCCCAGTAAGAAGACATACCGAACGGAGTTCGGACTATATATCATACTTGGGCCAATTTGACAGCATCTTCAGTACAGCCCGACATCCCGTTCGAGCAACGGCCAACCAGCAAGTGGCCAGGTGCAATTAATGCCAGACTATGACATCAGCAAATGGAAGCATGGATGACCAAGTCGGTGGAACAACGGCCAATCAGCAAGAGGCAGCCCATGCTCTCCATTAGTATAAATAGAAGGTTTCAAGTCATTGTAAGGGTTAGCATTTCAATACTCAAGCTCTAGAATAGAATTATTTGCCCTTATTTCTTGTATTAAAGCATAGTTTCCGACTTACCGATCGGGAAATTCCTTGTAATAAGATTGGTTAATTAATACAAGTGAGCTTTCGAGTTTTAGTTAGTTCAGATCTTATATTTTCTTATACGCTTTGATTCTGGGCCATTCCTGATATATCCAAAGTTCGTGTTGGGCTTTCGGATCTACGGGACTTACCCTCAACATTGGCGCCGTCTGTGGGAAACTTGCAAAAAGTTTCACTTTCTAAACATCCAAAAAACCTCTATTTTTTCAAAAATGGTCAGAATCAGTTCCTATCATACAAACGACGGTTCACACCATCACGGGAGGAGTCACACCCCGGGGAGTCAAAACCCCCAGGGACAATCCAGTCGAGGATCGTATCCTCGTTTTAATGGGGATTTTGTGATTCCCGAATCTCTGAGAAGAAATCCCCAGGCCATGCGTGACATGGCCCAATTCATGCAGCATATGGCGAACGAAGAGGTAGGAGTTTCCAGCTTTACAGGAGAAACTCCACACGCGGAAACAACCACAGCGTCATCCCGTTCCCATACCCATCGGGATAATCGACGTAGCGCCCCACCAGCAGCGCATCCCAGTCCCAGTGACCGAACCCCGGTCGGGTCGCAAGCTAGAGGACCAACTCCAGTCGATCATCATTTCCAGTATGCCGAGCGGGAAAATACTAGGGCCCCTCAGCGGCATTGGGACCGGGACTGTACGGATATGAGAGTTCCACCACCGCCCCCTTTGACGGCCCAGGAGGAAGAGATGGCCGAGATGAGGAGGCAAATGAATGAAATGCGGGACCAGATGAACAGGGTACCTGTACAACCTGCGCCAGTTCAGCTGGGAATTACTTCCCCGTTTACTAGGGAGATCATGTACGCGGATATCCAAGGGGGTGCCAAGCCCCCGACCGGCCAAATTTACGATGGGGTGGGAGATCCCCACGTACATCTGAGGAGTTACCAAGGGGGACTTATGCTGCTAGGAGCACCCGAGGCCGCCATTTGCCGGTTGTTTTTCAGCACGCTCAGGGGGCCTGCCCAGGAATGGTTCGGGACACTACAGCCCGGGTCAATCAATAGCTTTGCCGAATTATCAGCGTTATTCTTGGCTCAATTTGCTTCCAGTGCCAATCCCAAACGGCATTTCAGCTATTTGACCAACGTGAAGCAAAACGCCAAGGAGACCCTCAACCAATTCCTGAAAAGGTGGAGGGATGAAACTTTAACAGTGGGAAACATGACGGATGATACCGCCATTACCCTGTTCACGAATGCTCTCCGAACGGGGGAGTTGTACAAAGAATTGAAGAAGAATCCGGGTACGGCGTACGCCGAGGTGTTAGATAGGGCTCGCAAGCATGCCGCCCTAGAAGAGGAGATAATGATCAGGGATAA